TTCTTATGAAAGCTTGTGCAGATTTTCTAGAGTATCTATGAATATTCAGGTATGGTGCATGACCTATTTGCACCTACCCGCGGTGAACAAAACTCAAATTAGAGAGTTTAATGTAGGTGATGAGTGTAGTCACTTTACACTAAATAAATCTAGTTTATAGAAATTTTATATTTTACTAGACTTTTGTAAACTCTGCCTTATTTTTCCTAAGTGATGGTCCATAGTCCAAAAGACACTACCACAACAACGCATTGGATGCTCGTGTTCCTAAATTAAATTGTTGTTTTATATATACATTATATATTTTGAAATATGTAAGAGATTGTTGTATTTAATATATATTTCAAAATATAATATATATTTATTACTAACATATATATGTGTATAGAAATATAAATTAAAAAAAATTATTTTTAGATATATTGGATGACCTAAACAGTATACCTTATGATCATTTGTCTTATTATTTATATTGCATTAATTTATTATATTACATTGGAATTACATTTTTAAAAGTCTTTGACCGTTGGTTAATAACTGTTAAATTTTACAACTGCTTGTTGGATGCCAGCCAATGCATCCTTTTGCTATGCAACTCTTCAATTATTATTTAAAACATTTGACTGCTTGTGTACGAACACAAGAAAGAAAAGTAAGGGAATAAAAGAAAGAAGCCTACTGTTCAGACTTTATAAAGTCTACTGTTCAGATTAAAAAAAAGGGCCAGCGCATGAAAAGGCAAAAACAGAAAGCAAGAAAACCTACTGAATTTTCTTGTGTATTTGATTTTTATACACAGTGGATTTCCTTGAGTTATTTATTAAATTGCTAAAACCAAATTTTATATACTTTCAAATATATTATTACTTGAGATCTTTGTATTCATTTGTAAACGATCAAGAATTATTCGCGACACCTCTATATTTACGAGTGCACGCTTGTGGAAAAGTGATAGTTGAATCCTAGAATAGAGGACGTCATAACCTGTTGTACCGAGTTTCATACTCAGAGGGTGAAAATCTATTTTTAAAGACAGTGACTAAACGCTTTTGTCGATAAAGTTTTTTTACCTCGTACATGAGAGAGAGAGAGAGAGAGATGGGTTTTTTATTTACATATTTTTTATTCTAATATTTGTGGAAGAAATGAACAATGGTAAGTTTTGTTTTTGAAAAAAGATCACAAATGTATATTTGAACCATTAAAATGAATTTTGATTAAAAAAAATTTTCATCCACACTTTTGAACTTGGTGCATGTGTTTTAATTTTTGTCAATTTGAACTGAACAATTAACACTAGTACTTTAGTCCAAAACTATACTGGGGTCATTTGTTGATTTCCGAATAATAAAAGGGTCATCTGGAAAAGACCTCAACTACAGGAAGATAAACTGAATTTTGCCCAATTCAAGCATATTTTTTGTTTTTTGAGTAGTTGCAATGAACCTTGTTTTATTATTAGTATATTAAAGTCCCTGTTTTGATCTAAATATAGACTGTTTAGGCTAAGATATTATCAGTGAGTTATTGGGACCTAATGGGACAAGGTGAATAAGAGTAATGTTTTTGGGACGTAATTTAATAATTTAATTTGTTGACATAATTTATTATGATTTTTAAATTGACTGCGAGCCCTATTAATCATTGAAATTTTGTGTTTCACTAAAATTATATCATTAAATTAATTTTTTAAATCTATATAACATTACTTAAAAAATAAATAGTTGATGACGAGAGCTGTAAGCAGATTGTACTGCAACCTAACTAAGAAGTGTGTGAAATTCAACAAAAGTTCCGGTTTTACTATACTTTTTGTTAATATCATCAACTTAGAAATATCAAAATTTATTTATTTTAAATTTATTTTATTTTTTTGGCCACCCAAATCTCATCCCTTTTTTGGCTTTTTTTTTTCTTGTGTATCGGAGGGAACCATGGTTACTAAAATCTATATAACAAAATACAATACAATTCAAATATCATTAAAATAAATAAAATAATTTTTACTTCGCGGTTGAGATCTTTTTAAATTTTATTTTAAAATTAATCCAACGGTTAATATTAACACCCCAAATTTAATAGAAAAAAAAGACTCATAAGGGTGTATTTGAGTTAACTTTTTAAAAGTGCTTCTAGAGTTTATAATTTCTGAGAAGTACTTTTTTTTAATAAAAAATAGTGTTTGAAACCGATTAACCCCAACCGCCACCCCTGTCACCCCCACCATCATTACTACCCAAACCACCACCATCACTTTCGTCACCCCCCACCACCACCCCCCATTATCATCACTGTCGCCACCTTGATTACGCCCAAAAAATAATGCGGTAGTTGTAGCACAATTTTGGAGTATCGATTCCACAGAGAGACAGATTAAAAGAATAATAGAAGAAACAAAGAAATTAAAGAAAAAATATTTAATAATTACTAGAGAATAAAGATTAATTTTAAATGTAAATTAAAATGAAGCAAAGTGGCTCACGAAAAAAGTACTCAAATTTGACAAATAATAAAACGTTGAGAATCTCATGCACAAATTTGGTATTTTAATTATTCTTTATTCATTGAATAACTCAATTGAGAATTTAATTTTCAAAATTTTTAACCAGAAGATATAGATTTATAAACCAAGATTAAATTAAATGTAACATTTTAAAAATTCATTCACCACTACTTTTAAAATATGTAAATTAATATCATTATTGAAAAAATTTAATGACAACAATATACTTAAGAAACAACATTGCAGTAAAAGAATTAAATCAATATAGATAAATAATTGATCCAAATATAATCAAAGAGCTAATTCATTCAATAGAAAAAGCCTGACTAATTCCATAAATAGAATAAATTTTATGACTATTCGGAGAAAAAAATATCAACAATAAATTGAGAATAATAAAATAAAAAGAGTTTTACTAATTAAAAATTAAATGCATAAATTAAAAATAAATAAAATATCATCTACTGTGTAAGTTCATCTCTCGTCTTACCTGAAAATTTAGTTTCTCATAAATATAATGGACAACAAAAATCCCCTAAGAAAAATAAAACAAATGGGTGACATCGGAGTTTTTTTCCTGATCTGAGTCTGTTCGTTCACCGGCCACCTCCTCTCCTTTTTCTTTCCAGCCGCCAACCACAAAGGAAAAAGAAAAAGCACAGCCGCCCCGAAGGGAAAATATCAGTTAAAAGTCAATTGTTTTTAACAAAATACCTTTTCTCCCAATTTCTTTATTTCAATTCTTCTTTATTCCAACTTTTCAATTTTGTGTAATTTGAGAAAGATAAAGTCTCATAAAAATTATGAATATCGACCCACGTGAAAGCTATATCAATTTCAATCTTTTTGTTCCATGGGCTACCATCAAAATAAAAATAAATATAAAACTCGAATAATAAAATTCCAAAAATTTTAAGTATAAAACTCAATTGTAAATTATCTCTTACCAACCAATAATGTAATATTTAAGATTTAAAATATTATAAAATCATGCTCAAATATATCGAAGTATGAATAGATATTAAATTCAATAATATAAATTATATCTAATTATTTATATTTATATTTTAACATTTTAATCTAATAATAAGATATTTAGAATACACTTTCGCGCACTCATCATCACCATACCACCCCCTATCACCATTGTTGCTGCCACCTTATTACCACCGTGACTGTCCCACTATCACTCTTTCCACCACCCCTTAGTACTCCCACCACCACTATCACCTAAGACTGTTACCATGACAACCGGTAGTCGTCTCCCATTACTGTCTTCCACCACCATTACTGTCACCCACCACCATTATCACCGCTCACGCCTTTATTATAATCTGTGTTTAAATTCTTTTCTCCCTCTTCTATCTTTATAATTTGATATTCGATGTGAATACAAATATATTTATTATTAACATTTTTTTATTATTCTATACTTTCAAGTACGAGAAATAACTAGTTGTCTAATAAAACAAGTGCAAATATGCCGCTAATAACAAATGCCAAAAACAATGAAGTGGCAACCCAAAGATCACCAGCTCTTCGAGTTTTGGCTCGAACCAAGATTAGCAAGGTAATTTGTGCCGTTGTTTCCTTCTCTCAAGGTGTGTTAGCCACCCAAATCCACATTTTGTATCTTAAGGATAAATTTGTAATTATCCACAAGAATTTTAGTTACAGGGCTAGATGTTTCATTTTCAACTAGAAGTTTGAAGACTTGCCATGAATCTCTCTCCAGATTACAGTTCCTTCCTTCCTTCCTTCCTTTCTTCCTAGGTGCAACGTCTGTGTCAGCCTCAGGCCATCATCCCTTCTTTGAAAGAAATTCGTTTCCTTGTTTTTAATTGCCTAGTGAAGTGTTGGTTGTAGTCTGATCAAAAAACAAAAAGTTTGGGTTGTAGAAAGTCAAATTAAACTTCACTTTTTATTTCAATTATTGGCGGTAAGGCGAATCCAATTTCTCTATTTTGCTCCGGTGTACCAGCGGTATTTCAAGGTTCATGGACGATCACTTCATCAGTCCACGGACTTGTAGTAGACTATTGCAACTCTATTTTCCACTATTAAATAAATACAATTTAACCCTAAGGTACCCAGTAGAGGCACATACATGAATTTTATAATTTTTGACATAATTAATCTGTTTTTAATCAAATTAAAAAAAAATTAGTCGAATTACACTCGACACCCTTATCTAACAAAAGAAAATACAAATTGTAAAATAGTAAATCAAAAAAAAGTATTCTTTTGGTTCTCTTTTTTCACGCAGACCCAGGAACACCCCTTTTCTCTGTCTCTCTCTCTCTCTCCATAGTTCACTGTACAGAGGCCTTTTACTCGTCGACCGGAGAAAATGCATTCCAATCACTTNTTTGGTTCTCTTTTTTCACGCAGACCCAGGAACACCCCTTTTCTCTGTCTCTCTCTATCTCTCTCTCTCTCTCTCTCTCTCTCTCCGTAGTTCACTGTACAGAGGCCTTTTACTCGTCGACCGGAGAAAATGCATTCCAATCACCTGCTTCTCGAGGAGCCTATAAGGATGGCCTCCATCCTCGAGCCATCCAAATCTGTTAGTAGCCTCAATCACTCGTTTTTCTCTCTGATTTCACTTTTGATCTCAATACACAGTACAGGACTATAAATTTGGGTGATTATTGATGTCGGTGTATATATGGGCAGAGTTTCTTCCCTGCAATGACAAAGATCGTGGGGACTTTGGGCCCCAGGTCTCGATCCGTCGACGTTATCTCCGGTTGCCTCAAAGCTGGAATGTCTGGTATATTTATTATTTTTTAACTTTTCTTTACATATATATACGTACCTAAGTATCTGTTCATATATATGTACGAGCATGCATAGGATTGTAGTGGTTTTGTGGTGGAAAATGGTTAGATTTGGGATTTGATTTTATACTGAAGATGGAGGTTTTCTGATTAATGATTTTGGAACCACTGCAGTGGCTAGATTTGACTTTTCTTGGGGAGACTCACCGTTTCATCAAGAAACATTGGAGAATTTGAGGATGGCTATCAAGAGCACCAAGAAGCTCTGTGCTGTATGTATTATTGTATTTATGATTCCATACCTGGGGTTTTGGTTACTCATTGGCTATGCTTGGTTGCTGACAATTGACCTAACTAATTGAGGGCAATAGAGTTTTGTGTGTTCTGGAAATTGGGTTTTTTTTTCCACTTATGGAAAAAATTTGTTTTTGACAGTTTTTTGACAGTGTGTTTTCTGTTGCTCTGCTTGTTTAGAGAAACAGGAGCAAAATAATTAGAAAATATGGCTTGAACTCTGATCCTGTATGGTATCTGAGAAACTGTAAGCTCTTTGTGTTGCTTAAGCAACAGATTGTAGTAGATTGAGCTGAGGTGGGGTTGTTAATACAACAATGATTCAATTTGATTAGTCTAAAGTTTTTCCAATAGTTTTTCTACAATTCAATTGAACAAGTTTTCAGTTCATAGAAAAAGCAAGGTAGAATTCATGGGTTTTTTTTTTACTTAATTTCAGGTTATGCTAGATACGGTGGGCCCCGAGATGCAGGTTGTGAATAAAAGTGAGACGGCTATTTCACTTGTGGCAGACGGTACTGTTATTCTGACACCTCATCAGGGCCAGGAAGCGTCTTCAGAAGTGTTGCCTATCAACTTTACTGGACTATCTAAGGTTTAAACACTTCCATCTCCTTGTGGTTAGCTCGAAGCATTTTTTATTTGGAATGCATGGCTTTATTTAGGCCACAGGACGGAAAATTCTAGCAAAATCTGATGCCCAATACATGAGAAATCGGTGATTCTACAAGAGATTCTGTAAGTTTTGAGAAAATTGATGCACTTGGCTAGAATTACCAGAACCATTTTGTGAAAAGGGTTTCATATCTACAAGCACACAATTCTCCAAAATTACTACTGCAGTAAGATGCTTTTAGAAACAGACTTATATTTGGATAGTATGGTGTCTTCATATTACTGGGATTTGATATATGCACTTGAGAAAAAGAAGTTGTCTGAATTGTAGATT